AATGAATATGACTCATACTATCATTGTGTTACCAAATACCAATCATTAACTAGTTTTTAGCGCTCCCGAAAACAGAATACATAATTAGTTTCATGTGGTCTGTCCGTCCGTCCGTCCCATTTAGATCTCGTAAACTAGAAAAGTTATTGAAAATATGACATCTTGATATTTTAGACCTTTCAAAAGTTCTGATGCAACGGGTACTTTTTTCTTTTCTGAAAGTGAACAATTTTATTTTTAAAATCAACAATGCAAGCATGTTTATCGTAAAAATACACCTTTTTACAACTATTCACTATTAATATTTAAACAAAAAAACACGGGAGGCTATTTAGTTAAGGAGAGTACTATTTATCATATTTTTTACAATTTTATACAAACGATTTTAGATTTGTTGTCAAATAATTTTTTTTACAAATGTATTTGTTAAGTTAAGTAAGTTCTGACATACCTACTACATTTACACAAAAAAGGTTTACTTTTCTTTTTTAAAGAAAAAAATCTATTTAATACCCATATAAGTGGAACATAATTCAAAACAACAGTAGATTTCAAGTGGAAATGAGTTTCGAAACCATCACATTGCCATATATGTCATACTTACAACAAGCAAGTCATTCACTATTATTAGGTATTTACACTGTTTTTTTTTATATCTGCAGCAAAGTATTTCCCAACCCACCTTTAAAAATTGGAGATTAAAATGGTGGGGGGTGGGGAGGAAGGGAAATAATTCTAACGTCTTCTAACCACAAAGCCACCAATGTCTAGCCCTCAAGTTGTCTTTCATATAGCTTATCTTTAATGTCTTGTATTTTCCTGTATGCTATCACATTTGGATAGATGAAGCTGATCTACATTTAAGCTTAAATGGACAATCAGTAGACAGCAACTGTATATTGCCTATAAACGAAAAGACCCGGGCACTCACCTTCTGCTCTGGTAATGGACCCGCACCTCTTACGGCAAAGATATACCGCAACAGTGTGTTGGTTGCCTCATCTGCTACCTGTGCAAACTATGAACATCCGTCGTTGGACAGCTCACCATATCACCTCGTTGTTTATGTCTGCCAGGATCATACACCTGTAATGAATAGAACGTGCTTTATACAAGGTAAATGTTATTCTGTTTGTATATTTCATTTATCTATCTCGAATCAAGTCTCTATCCACAGTACTAGAGAGACCTATTTTGACTGATTTCGATTTGAATCGACCAGATTTACTTCACCAAAAAAAAAAAAACCAAATAAGAACTCGCATATCTGCAAAGGTCATTGACATTTCAGTGCTGCAGCAAACGCTCCTACCCCAAGATAATTACGTCTCATAGAGTATAAGAAGAACTAAAAGAGAAACAAACACAATAAAAGAAAAATACTTTTTGTAAAAGAATAAGCTTATATAATGGGAAGAACCGCAAAATCACTGAATATATCTTAGTACTGCATGAATAAGCTTATTTTTCTATATATAGTCTATATATAGGCTAACACAAATTTAAATAATTACCATAATTGATAGTTTTTATTTTGTATTTTAATTTTTGATTATTTCATAACGACTATGTTTAATTATGCAAAATGTTGACTTGATCCGAGAATTGGAAAGGAGAAAAACTTGTATAAAACGTAATAAGGAGAATAACTCCACATATACATGCACAATATATAATAAATAGAAATTTTTTCTCTTGTTTGATATCAAATTCAATAATTAATTACCAATAATTAATTAACTAATTGGTTAATTTTTTTCATTGATTCATGTTTTGTTTTTAATACAACAAAGAAGTGTGTAAATTTTTAACTTCAATCGAGAATGGGTATGGGAGAAATAATGTGGTCAAAATTGTACCAGAGATAGTAAGCAAGAGCAAAAGTGACAAAAAGAACAAAATATGAGGCGCTGTGGCTGAATGGTAAAGTTCTTGGCTTTCGAACTGAGAAGTCCCAGATTCGAATCCTGTGGAAAACTGGAATTTTCAATTTCGGGATCTTTATGGCGCTTTTGAGTCCACACAGCTCTAAAGGGACCTGACATTAGTTGGGGAAAAGTAAAGGCGTTCGGTGTTTAGATTGTCACATGACTCCCTTGTTATCCGTGTGACACAGAAACAGAAGATGTTTACATCATCTGCCTTATAGATCGCAAGGGCTGAAAGGGGGGATTTTTTACTTTGCTTGGAGATTAATCAACTAAGAAATTTTTAAAAAGTACAATATTCAAAATTGATATATCAGTCAAAAGGCTATGCAGATATCTTCGTGACTCTAAATCTTCCTAAGAAGATTTTTATGACTTTTCAGGAGTTTGCAATCCTCCCATTTCATAAGTAAATGTATTTGTCAACATTGTTAAGAAGACTATAAAGGCTTTTTTTTCCTTTTTTTGAATCTGTATCCTGTCTTGTCAGAGAATTTGAAATATGTTTGAAGATTATACCCCATTGTTATATCAACCGAGGGAATAATAACAACTGACCTCACAGATACCTCAAGGCCCTTGGCATTCCTAGGAACATTCTCGTTGCCTGCAGTGCCAGAGAATGAATAATAATAATAATAATAATAATAATAATACAGTTTTGGGTTCTTTTTTTCAGCGAACAACGTGTCGTCGCATGTATCGACAATGAATATTACATTATTTGTCCTAGTCATCATGATATTATGGTTTATAACATCATGAATACGTAAGTAATTTAAAGATAAACATTAGATTATGTAAGCATTTTGAATGTGAGATGCATGTACAGTATACTGTGTCAATTTACGTCTCGAGAGATGCTTTTAGCCTTAGGCAATATTGCATTTATCAATGGAGGCTATTCCCGGAGACACAGGTAGGATAAATAATCGTGTATTTAAAACCTTCAGAGGTTGCAATTTTTTTTTTTGTTGGCTTGTAAAACATAAAACATGAATATTTTGTGTGACTGATCTGAACCTTGTTGATGTCCAAGGGCTGAGCCGAAGGCTCTTCGTGCCCTAAGTTTGAAAAAAAAACCTGTTTGGCCTCCAAACAGTAAAAAAAAAAAAATCTGTGAGAACACAGTTCTGTTTGAGAGAGACCCGAGTCAATGCCTATGTAAAGCATTGCTGTTACCAACGACGCATGCTTGGCTGCACATGGCCGAAGGCCGAGGACACCGGGAGCCTCCGACATTTTCCTTCGTTATACCAAGCTAACTGTGCAGGACCCGCCATTTATGTAACGGTCCCTTTGAGGAACAGCGCATGGATGTGTGACAGGTTTGTGAGGACTTTTTCGCAACCCCGCCCGTGCAATGGGTGGACTGTAGTCTACCCGTGGGCTTTCCCACGGGAGTCTTGTGTTGCTACCCATTTAGCCTAACCACTTCCTCTAATGGTCGTTTCCACACGAGCGCCACGATGAGGCAGAGTAGCGTGCTCGCGGTGTGACTGATAAAAAATCAGTGTACATGTACATAGCCACTTTACTATTTATATTGTTCGTCAGTCATTTCTTGCCAACCTGAAGTAAGACACGCTAAAATAATCTGCTGTTCTAAAACAACCCGATTTTGTGAATGCCAAAGCACATTTACTTTTACCTCTCCTTTAGTCTGTTAAACTTTTGGGGCACCACGTAAGATCTACAGTCTACAGTCTTTCTCCATTCCTCTCTGTCCTTTGCCTTGGATAGAGTCTCATTCAATGACATCCCGTCCGTTCTTAGATGTAATCTTTGTCTTCCTTTCTTGTTTTAATAGTCATATTTAGCTAAAATATCTTTGTCCTCTGTCCTGATCCATTCAAAATTTAATTTCACTTTCTCGGCTGTCTAGGAAGCCACCATTTTAAATTGACATTATAAATCTATCTGTATTTCATTCACATTCTGAAAACTTTCGAATCAAATTTCACTTTTTATTTTTAAAATCCAAGTGTACATTATGGCAAATTGGGACGAATGTGTTCTCCTATAATGAAAGATGCACATTTTTATTGAATCTGAAATGATATTTATACTTGTCTCAACGTGGGTTCAGGTCAGACATAGATAGAATAGTAAGGAATAGACAAATTGAAAGGTGATGAGGGGCGAGTTGATTATGTTTAAAATAATGTGTGAGTTGATTCTGATTAAAATTGAGGGGCGACTTGATTATCATTAAAATTAAGGGGCGAGTTGATTATGATTAAAATTGAGGGGCGAGTTAATTATTATTAAAATTGAGGGGCGAGTTGATTATTATTAAAATCAAGAATAAAATAATAGAAAAATTGAATTTTATACATTTAATTTCGGACCCTAAGGTACACTCGGGGACCGTCAACTACAGTTTGAGAACTATTGTCATCGCCTATTACCTAGAAGTAGAGGCTTTTTTTTAACTCAGTCCGTCTGTCTGTCTGTCTCTCTGGTATTGCTCCCACTCTCCATTGCTGGATCAACTTGAAACTTCGCACATTTTTGTGCGTGTCCTTAACAGGATAAGAATTGTTATTAATTAATAATGTTTGACGTCAATAATTAAAATAAATCGTACAGTAATGAGATACATGTCTGTGAATGTACGAATCTATCTTAGATATGCCTTTTTTTTGGCATTTTTTAAATATTTATTTTGCTTTTTACATTTTTAGCTGTTATTTTTTAAAATAGGCCTCAATAAATTCTTTTCTACAAGTCCATTGTTATATTTTGATGATTGCATTTTCTTTTCATTTCAGGTAGAGAAAGAGCGTCACGTGACTTGAGCTGTTTTGGCCGGACGGAGATAAAAATTGACCAAAAGTAAAACAGGCGGTGATTGTCAAATAGCTGTCTTGAAACAGCCATTGTTGTTTTTTTCGACTACACTCGATGGTCGACTTCAGTTACCTTGGATACAATGGCTTACGCGGCTATATAAACGCGTGTCTACTAGATTCTAGTCACTTTACATTCAGTTCAAAGTCAAGTCAATATGCATGTGTGCGCTCGTACATTATACGTTCTCTCTATATATATATCTATATTATATATATATATATATATATATATATATATATATAACAATGTTCATATTGTGAATATAATTTTATTGCACATAATGTTGGACATTGTGCAGCATCGATGTGCTAGTCACTTCACCATGATACCATAAAATGTGTTATAGACTGTGAAACAGGATATAAAACAGCTTTAAATAAGATTTAAATACATTCGTTTTTAGACTCTACATGCAGATAAAAGGTCATGGTCAAGAAGAAGGTTATTGTTTAGAGGCGGAGGCATAGATCTATCAGTGTACTCAATGTCAGGACTTCTGAGTTATAAGTACAACAATCCCTGATAGACACACCTTGCACATACAGTTTTACACGAAGTAATAATGATATAAAGTAAAAGTGTGATAGAATACTATGATATTCACACAATGATATTGACGTCAATGGTGTAGATAGTAAATTACTTAAGAAAAATATATGAAAATAACTAAATCCTAATTACATTTATAGTACTAATTTTAAAAAAATGTAATAAGTAAATTGTATGCTGATGTATAAAAACAACGACAAGACGCTGACTTGTCCTTTACATTATCGACTGTTCCACAACTGGTATCAAAGATTTTTCACTGTACACTGTATCGAGATACTTCAGAAAGTGTCAATAGAACAGCAACGGCAATAGTTTATTTTTTTTTTGTTTGATGATTTTTTATTTGGCATTTAATTTTCAATATTTTTGTTTGACATAGCTTTTAATGAGATTCCAGAAGTCATTGGCTGGATGGGTAATGTCTTTTTCTGTTTGTAAAGAGTAAGACTATATTTTTTTTATTTTATTTTTTTTTTGCTTTTTAATTATATTACGATTATTGTAAAGCTAGAAAACGTGTATCCATGAGATGTTTACAACCACGAAGATAATTCAAACATCAGATGCAATTTTGTACAAATTATTTATTACATGTTTATGGCTTTAAACTTTATGGCTTAACTTCAATTATTTAATCTACACACGCAGTCTTGATGGCCGGTGAATACAAAGAAATCACCCAGCTCCTTAACCATATGTCTCCTATTGTTTGAACAGGTACACCACAATAAAATGGTGTTCTCGACAACCTCAGAGCAGAAATTTTAAGTTCCTATTATTTAAACTTGAGTAAGACTAAAAGTATTTCAGAGGCTACCTGGCTACTTCTAAAATCTAAATGTTTTGTACATTTTTAACTAGTCTTCTGTATTGTATAACCTATTTAGAAAACGTTAGTATTCCAGTGTTGTTGTCTATATTTCCTTACTTGTCTTATCATCCAATGAGCCTTCAATTTTCTAGTAAATGTTTGGGAACAAAACTAGAAATGAAGAAATGTTTACTTTTAAAGTTTACTCTGCATTTCTAAGAATGATTAAGAATAGAAAACTATTATAGATGCCTGTTCTAAGTACTAGAGGTTCAAGTGCCTAATTGATAGCAGCCTCCGAAACGGAAAATGTATGCAATCCTACTTACGAAATCCGAGTAACAGAAGTTGGATTAGGCATCAAAAGAAAGTGGTATAGCAACAGACTGCCTACATGTTTTTATTTTTAAAAAAACTACAAATCCCATTCTATTCACATAGTAATACACATTTACAATTAATTTAATAGACAATGGGGTCTTCTTATTAATAATACACATCTTAGATTTCAAACTGCAAAAAAAAAAAAAAAAAAAAAATTAAGGCTTTTGTGCGTCTTGGCAAAAGGGAATGATTTTTTTTTCTAAAAGCGAGGAAGAAAATACTCATAAATCTGAAGGTGCCCTAATTTGTTTGATCACAGCATCTTCGCAATGGCCCTGACGTGCCGAGGACTGAGGATGACCCTCACTCGGGAGTCCGTCGTATTTGTACAATATATGGCCATTAATAGTGTTAAGTTTATTATCACAGCGAGAGAATGGAGAACGGAGCAAATGTTCCCCCATAAACTTTGTGGCTGAGTGCTTCACAAGCGTACTGTTGACCTATCTTCTATTATGGTCGTTGTCAGGACTTTGATTATTTTATTTTTATATATTTAAATGTCTAGGGTTATAAAGTATAATTTTAATTACAAAATGTGTGTATATTAAAGAATAATTATGTTTTCTATTTGCTTGATAACTATACTAGTCCCGACCTTTAGCATAACAGACACACCATACACACCAAGTTGTACATAACTTGTGTATGATGATTTAAAATAAAATATGAATTTAATACAATGATATATTCAATGATAGTGAAATGAATAATGTGAATGATAAGTAATCACAAATGAATATGAAGATAATAAGTCATAAATTCAACCTAAGTAATAATAATATATTAAATGTATATCAAATAATATTAATAAAGTAAGCACCTTATATTATGTTGCATGACAACATTGACAAAACATTCATAATGACATTGACCACATCGCAGTTTCATAACTTAAGCCAATACTTCGTCTCTGTAACAGGTTCTGTATAAACTGCATATGACATTAATCTCGTTAGTAGCATACAGGGACTGTCATTAACTTCTGTCCAACAAGACTGACAAAGATGTCGACAACAATGTCCAGAGTAATACCAGCACCCACAGTATCAACGTTGAAACAGGTAGAACAAAATAGAAGAGATTATAACGTCTAATCTAAAACTACAAATACGATCGAATCCGTGTCAAAAAAATATTTCACATAAAACTCACCCTAAACAGGGGTCAAATAGTCCTACCAAGAATAACTTCTGGGCACTACGGTTAAGGCTGTCCAGTAGTCCAAGGCCAAAAGATTATTCAGGACCACAAATGTACAGCTTGTCTATCAAGTTGAAGATGGCGCAAAGCACTCCAAAAGTGTGAGCTAATAAATTAGGCCAGTCTAAATCATGTCAAAAATGACAAGGAAAAAAATACTACACACAATAAAACGCAAGAAAATGACGTCATCGTTGTTTGTTATTCTTTTTTTTTTTCGGATAAGTTTCACAAAATGAGAATCGCTGCTTTACGTTGGGAAAAATGGTTGACGAGGCGTCAGTTTGATTAGCACGTGAGTAGTTAGCTCGGTCTACGAAAAGGAGGCCTCCCAGAGACCTAGATATACAAACCTTCCTTTAGAGCTGCTAATAATGAGATGTATTCAGTTCAAATAATGACTTGCCTCTTAACCCTAACCGGAGCTATACCAAGTGAGTTTACCTCTTTTCTTTTTTTAGCCTTTAATACTTCTCTTGTTAGTAATTGTTGTTTTTTTTTGTTTTTTACCAATCGTATATCAAGACACAGCCTGTCTGTCTCTCTGGTCATTCTCAGATAAAGTTGAAATATTAAGCAATTTTTATTGCACTAAACAAAACATTGATTAATAATAAAACTAGTCATAAGTCATTTAATTATTGGTAATTAATTATTTTGTTTCATATTGCACAAGGGATATAACTTTTACAGTACTAAGATATATAAGGGCGCAGTTCTTTCCCTTAGATGATCATTGTTTTGTAGAAAAAGAATCTTTTATATTATGCTTGTTTATGAATCGAAGCATGCCCTGTTTGCTTTTTAACTTGATCGCTTTTAACATTCAAAGAGGCCATTTGGTCTGTTCTATGTAGGCTAAGTGTACATTCAATCCTATTGTGTAACAAAAGTGTTGTCATACGTTTACCATATGTAGCTAACAAATTTGTTAAGAAATAGTTATTTACCATTTGTTTAAATGTGTTGGTTCTTGGTACTTGTGGATTTTAATAACAGCCCTATATATTCTTCTTTATTGTTTGATTTTTGTTATGTTAAGAGCTAGCAGCTCTAGTGGTCAAGCAGTCGTATCCTTTAAAGAGAGCTAGCAGCTTTTGTGGTCAAGCAGTCGTATCCTCTACAGAGAGTTAGCAACTCTAGTCGTCAAGCAGTCGAATCCTCTACAGAGAGCTAGCCGCTCTAGTGGTCAAGCAGTGGTATTCTCTACAGAGAACTAGCACCTCTAGTGGTCAGGCAGTCATACCCTCTACAGAGAGCTAGCACCTCTAAAGGTTAGACAGTCGTATTCTCTACAGAGACCTAGCAGCTCTAGTGGTCAGGCAGTCGTATAATTATAATAATAATAATAATTCAACAGGTAAATATAGGATATAAACGTTTTAATCCAGAATGGGAACAGTCTAGTCTCAGCCACTATAATAAAAGATTGTGTTACCATGAAAGCCTAACCTCAACTGTCCGTTTATCTATATCTGCACTATAGTCTATTTTTGAATTTATATTGTCGTAATGTGCGTTCACTAACAGTCACCTAAAGTGCGTCTCTACTTGCTCTTTACTTAATTAGATCCACCTCCCCCTACCCATCATGACCCGGTGATAACAAGCAGGCAGCAAAGAAGTAGGTGTGGGTACGTACAGTATAGGCGGCTTAGGCGTCATTGTCGTTCACAAGTGACACAGAGCAGAATGAACTCTGGCAGCTATTAGAAAGGCCGATCAGCCCTAGTATGGTGTGTAATGCTCTTCTCGATATCACAAAGACAGGGTAGCAATGGTGCATGCAATAAAATACTATGGCCAGCCTACCGCAGCTGGAGGCTTAGAGGTGCCATAATCATGCGGCTGACTTTGTCTCTCTGTTGTCTTTGTTGTTTTTTTTCAAGTTTCTGTGTCTTTGTCTGTTATGTTCTATGTCTCTGTCTCTTTTTCTGTCTTTTTGTCTATATGTCTCTGTCTCTCTTTCTGTCATTATGTCTTTATGTCTCCCTCTTTCTGAATTTATGTCTCTCTCTCTTTCTGTCTTTATGTCTATATGTTTCTCTCTCTCTCTTTCTGAATTTATGTCTTTATGTCTCTCTCTTTCTGCCTTTATGTCTGTATGTCTATGTATGTCTATATGTCTCTCTCTCTTTCTGTCTTTGTCTCTAGCTTTATCTGTGTCTCTCTGCCCCCTTTTCTCTGTCTGTCTGTCTATCTCCATCTCTCCATCTCTCTCTGTCACCATCATTCTCAATGTCTCTCACCAAAAATACGTTTATTTAAAGTAGTTCTTTTTCTTTTCATATTATAATACTTTCATCCTGTGGGCGGACGTGGACCCGCTGGAAGAATGTGTCACGTCCCCGAGGTAAAAGTTTAAAGGTCATATTAAGACTAGACTAAGTGTATTGGTCTGGGAGATCGTCTAGAAAGTCAAGTAAATCAGGTTAGATCGGAAGCAAAACAAAACTAGCTATGCCAAGTAAATGGCAAGCTATATGAAGTAAAGGTTGGACCTGCATAGCCATTCTCGGGTTCATAGAAACAAAGAAATGTGCTAGTCTTTGACCTCGAAAGAGAAACATCATTTAACCAATCTACACATCTATCATTCTTACTAGTGAAACTTTTAGGGGCCATCCATAAAACAGGTGAAATGAAGTCATCCCGATTCCCGATAGCTAATCACACAATCATACTCAATATAAGATTAAATACAATTAATATGAAGATACTGATACCAACTCAAGAAAGCTTAGTTTACTTTATTATCATACGTTTGAATGTAATAACTAGCATTCCGGAAACAGGGAAAATCAGATATAATATTATATATACGTAATTATAATTTATGAAACAGTAAATGAATTTTTACAAAGCTTATATATAACAACACACTTTGTGGTTATTATGTTGGCTTGAGACCGAAAAAGGGAGACAGAACGAAATAGAGAGTGGGCCTTGAAATTTTATTATAACAGATAAACTAATTCACGGGCTAAGAAAAATATGTAAGGTTGAATGCTAAAATATGGCCCGTTTATAAAAAATTTAATAAAATATAAAACCTAGAAATAAATCAAGGGGCGTAACCGGTGTGTAGTGCTAGTATTGGTATAGAAGTGTTTGATTTTCGTATCAATTATAATTCTCTTTAAAACTAAATGAGCAAAATAATGAGTTCCGCTGCCATCTCTTCTTATGTTTACTGCCTAGTTCTAAAAA